TATTAATACCTACTTCACATATAACATTTCCAAATATGTCAACATTATAGCTGACTTCAGAGTCTAAAAAGAAAGCCCAATGAATCCCAGATCTGGTTCTGCCCCCCTTAAGATCCTACTTACAACTCGGACTTTACCTTTTTAGGTCTGCGTAATTCGAGCTATTAAAAATGGGAGAAAGCTGGGCAGGATGTTGCCTGTATTATTTCAGGGCCACCTCATAATGCAGTAATATTCTTTCTTTGATCTCATATATGATTAAATTCTTCAGTAGTGAGCCCTTTGCTTACAGAAAATAAGCTTCATCCCAGAAATGAATTGGCATGAGGAGAGTTTGTCTCACTTGTGCAGCAAGTGAGACTTTTTCCTGCTTGCTAAGGGTGGGCATCAGGTCAGCAAAGTAAGCTTGGGGACAACCTGGTTCACTTGCTGCCTTAGCTGTCACTTGCACCAAACTACCATAATAAAAATATGTACCAGACTCAGTTTACATGCAGTTTAATTTTCATAACACCGTGTGCTAAATTTTTATCATTTTCCCTATTTTGCAATTGGAGGGACAATGGCACAGAAAGATTAAATAGCTTCTGCAAGACCACACAATTTGTGAGAAGCTGAGCCAAGATCCAAGTTAGGCTGGCTCCAGCATCTATTCTTGTAAACATTCTACTAAACTGTTTGCCCAGTGGTAGTTATTTTGGATGATACTAATATTTTTTTTCTTTTTATCATTTCCACAAAGGGCAGCAGGTTTTGAGACAACAGACCTGAATTTGGCTCCTAAGAAAAAAAATCTGATTTCTGAAACATCTCCTCACAGGGATTACTATAGTATTAAAGGACATGATATAATTTTAGATGACAAATGATACATTGCAGAAGGATAGATAGATGATAGCTATATAGATAGATACATAGATGATTATGAAATAGATGATAGATAGATAGATAGATAGATAGATGATAGATAGATAGAACTTATAAGGTGCCCTACCAAGTAAAGAAGCATTATTACTTTAAGCTTTATAAACTCATTTTCAGCTCATATTTTATCTAGTTTCACTAATTTTACCATAGATCCTAAAATTTTTGCATATCACTGTTATCTTTGGATGATTTTATGCTCAGTGTTCTTTTTCTCTATTTTTATTAAAAGAAATTAAAACTTTTTGAAGATTCTTGATTTCCAAACCAGAAAAATCATTTTTAGACAAATGGAAAGAATATCAACTTTTTAAAAAGATAATTTTCTAGATCTATCAAAATGAGAACTGGAGATGCCATTTAGCATTAGTGTGCTTACCTAGCCCTAGGTGATAGTTCATGCCCATAATCCCAGCATTTGAGAAGCTAAGGCAGAAGAAATGTGGGTTGGAGGTCCACCTGGGCTACAGAGTGAGCTCCAGACCCCGTCTCAAAAACAAATAAAATAACCTAGCAAATGAACTGTCTGACCTCACGCCCTCTGAACTGTCACGCCTCATTCTGATCATATCCAGGAAAGGTTATCTCATTTTTAAGGATGCGTATGAATGTACTGGGTCCTCCTGAACACACCAGGATAACCTCATTTCAAAGTCCTTGCCTTAATCACATTTACCAAGTCCCTTCTGCCATACAGCATATTTGCAAGTCCACAAGATTAAAATATCACTTCTTTGGAAGAGCTATTAATCTGTCTACCATAATTGTGAACACCAGGAACAAATCTCCAATTGGGTATATTTAAAAGCTTGTTAACACATAAGTTTTGAGAGTAATCTCATTAGAGTGTCCTGATACAGCCAAATCAGAACAGTTATTATGGCAGAGAGGAGATAAAGTTCAGTTAACCTGATTTTCAACAAAAAAAGACAGCCTGATAGTGGTGGCCAAAAGATAGCAATAACAACAGAGGCAAATGAGACCCGACAATGACCCAATGACCCAAACCAGGCCATGAAGAGCCACTCGCTGTTTCACAGGCATGCAGGGTCTGTCTTCTGTTTCCCGTATATTTTGTTTTTAATTTTTAAATATTTTTATTTGTCATTTGTGAGGGGTATGCATGTATGAGTGCAGAGATATGGGTGCCATGGTGCATGTGTGAAGGTCAGGGGATAACTTTGTAGAGTCAGTTCTCTCCTTCCACCTAATTAACATGGGATCTGGGGATTAAACTCAGGTTATCAAGTTTGCCTGATGCTGACCCCCAGTTATCATTTTTAGTCTAGTAAATTGTACTCAAACATTAGAAATTATACATCAGAGAAAAAGACGTTTCTTTCTTCCAAAGTTTTTAAAGAATTTGACTATTTTTAAATATAAACGAAACAAACAACAGAAGTGCCAGTTCTCAGGTTCTCAGTCTTGTGCCTGTTTGGGTAGCAGCAGGGATTATGAAAAGTTGTTGAAGGAAGGTTGTGAGTATTTAGATGAGGAAAATGTTCCTGAGTTCTTGCTGCTGGGAAGAGGTGGAATCCACAAGCCACAGGGACACAGAGTGCCTGAGGGGGGAACCCAGTTTCACTGCTTTCATAATTCCCTATGCTATTAACATGGTTTCCAGAACCACAAGAGGTCTTCTGATGCCATGTCTGGTGTCTAACTGTAAAACTCAGGAAGAGCACAGCCACCTATTTAGTCTCATTACAACCTATTTTATCATTTCCATAAAATTGTATCTTATGATACAATCATCAGGACTTCTCAGCCATCAAAGACACTATGAGCTGACAAGGATTTGCTTTGCAGAACCACCTCTCAAACACAACAAATTTAATTATACTGTGGCCTGCTCTGCAGGAGAGATAGATGATCTCTGCTTGGAAAAATCTGTATGTCCCCAAGGCATAGGTGTGACTCACTAGATGCCTATCTTCCTATTTAAAAGACTTAACCAGAAGTCAGAGAAACAGGAACAAGTCCCAAATAGCGTAAAAAGTCACTAATGAGCTAAAGGAGGGACTGGGGAATCTGCACAGGGATCAGAGTTCTAGGTAAGATTTCAGTGCAGTAAGGGAACCAGAAGACATTGGGAATCAAGCCAGTCAAGGAACAGGTAAAAGTAGAGAAGACAGAGGAAACAGAGAAGCCATCTAAGACCTCAGTGTACTGGGCTATGAAAATGATCCCCTTGACTGAAGGTAACACTGGGGAAAATCCCCAAACCATGCATATTCAAATAACATAGGCTTTGTGGGAATGGGAAGAAGAAAGAACTGAGATTAGGAAACTCAAAGGATGAGGTCCTAAGTATATTCTACTTGTTCATTTGAGAAAAAAAAGAAATGAATACAGGGTGAAGACGTAGCTGGGCAAATAAGAGCTTAACATGCACAAGGCCCTAGGTTCATCCTAGTGATGCCCCAAAACTATTTACTATGTCAGATACTACTTTAGTAAATTCAAATAGTGAATATAGCAGATGCAGTGTCTGTCCTTCAGGAGTTATAGTCTACTGAAGTATAGAACGAGAAAGGTAAAGCAACCTTTTTCATGTGCAGCTTTCTAAAAATATGTGGGCATTAGATTGCCTGTAATATTTCTCCAACTGCTCAAGCTCTGAGAAGAGAGAGAAGATTTGAAAGGCTTAGCAGTAGTTATTTTGGGTGATACTAATTTTTTTTTCTTTTTATCATTGCCTTCTGGTATTCTTCTATAATGAACTTGCATTACATATGAAATGGAAATTGCTTAAGAAAAACAGTGGAGAGATTTTCCCTTCAGTCATGGTTCCTTGTGAGGTAAAGACATGTCATTCATCCACCGGTAATGGGAGCTGCCTCGTCCCTCCAGTGACTTCCTTTTTGCTTTACCTTTGCCTAATGAGGCTTGAGGGAAAATGCTCAGAAAATCATCCTACCCTTTTCTCATTACCTCTGTGTGCATCAACCTCTTCTTTTTTCCTTGAACAATTGAAGGAAGCTGTTGTCAACCGAGGGATGTTCAGCATGCCCCCCTAACCCCCCCGCCCCCACACACACGGCTGGCTTCTCCTCCTCAACCTCCCATCTCAGCTTAGACGTTTCCTCCACATAAAGGTCATCCATGAACAACATAGCAGTTCCAGTCATATCTTAAGTATTACCATTCCTGCTGTTTTCCATCAGATCTTGGCTCTGCTCTTTCCTTGTACAGTACTCATCAACTTCTAATTTCCCATGTAGTTCCTTTCTCTACAAGCTTATTGTCTATGACCCCACAAATATGAAGACCTATCATGAAGACAGAGATGGTCTGTGGTTGCCAGTGCTGTACCTCTCAGCCACAACAGAGTCCAACACATCTTAGGCTGTCTAAACCAATACTAACTGAGTAAATGAATAAAGGAAGTGGCCCCTCTGTCTGCCCGCTACCAATTTTGTTCCCATGCAGTGGCATGCTGCAGCCAAGGCCATTGCCAGCTCACAAGGGTCAGTTGTTAAATTCTCAGAGGCTTTACAAGCCAGTTGTTAGACTGCTTGTGGCTTGAAATGGGTCACGGTAAACATACTCACACCACAGAAATCTCCAAATGCTGCATGTGAAGACACTTCCCCCCACTCCCCCAAAAAGCTGATTTACTAGTACACCATTGCTCTTCTCTCCTAAATGTAACTGGAAAATCCAGTTAGCATGGCATTATGCCTGCCCCATAGGTTACTTAAAATATTTCAATAAACAGTACTTGACATTTTATAGCATACTAAATAGATGCTATGTAATGATTTGCCTGTTGGGCCTCAATCCTTTCCTAAGCTAAATTATGTTCTAAAATATGTGTCTCCGGGCTGGCAAGATAGCTCAGAGGGTAAAGGTGCTTGCTGCCAAACCCAATGATCCGAGTTCAATCTCCAAGATCCATATGGTAGAGGGAAAGAACTGACTCCTGCAAATTGTCCTTTGGCCTCCACAAGTACCCTGTGGCATGTACCCAACCTCATATACCACCACATGCAAAGTAAATTACTACAATGTGATTAAAAGATTTAAAATAAAATATATGTCTCTGATCTGAACTCCTGGTTTCTGCTTTTCAGATCCTTACGTGAAGATTCATCTGATGCAGAACGGCAAGAGGCTGAAGAAGAAGAAGACAACAATCAAGAAGAACACACTGAACCCCTACTACAATGAGTCCTTCAGCTTTGAGGTTCCTTTCGAGCAAATCCAGGTAATGTCAGACAGGACTTTGCCCTCTATTCAGTTTCGTCCCTTCAGATCCCTGCAGGTTATCAGTGCCCATACTTCCATTAGAACTGTCCTGCACACATCTGATGCCTGAGCTACGCCAATGGAGACATGATAAGATATGCAAAATGGAAATTGCTGATTCATAGCCAAAACAGCAGGTCTTCAGTTGAACAGCAATAGGGTAGAAAAAGAAAATCAATAGAATCACTTTGCTAGCTCAAAAAGTTCATCTACAGAGTTGAACAGCCAAGAGAAAATAAACTTCCCTATTTCCTCCCAGGCCACAACAAGCAATGCTTCTTTTCACATCTGAAGAGCGAAAACTAACCAGCATCCCCACCTTCTAACATTGGCTCACGGTTTTTATATAAGCTTTCTCATGCACATTTTCACTTGCTAGCAGATCGTACATATTGACTTACTTTCATCAGCTGTTATATAAATGAATGGCATTGCAGAGGACACTTGTTTGGTAGTCTACACCTGTGAGTGAACTCCTTTGGACCCACTGGCAAACTCCTGACACATCAATTTTCTCCTATAATTTATTTCTCAATATCTGTTCTGTGAACTTTTTGAGTTCTAAGACTTTATTCCTATGGAAACTAACACCTCCTGGCATTTCATTTTTTAATTCCACAAAACAATACAAAGCAGGACATTGAGATGGAAATAAAAATCCTCATGTAAACTTTCTCCTTTGAGCTATAATTCCAAACCTATAAAAACAAATTTCACCTATGAATCTCAAAAAAACCCAAATATATTGAAAAGGAAGGATATTAAAAAACAAAACAAATTTTGGATTTCTGTGCAGCATTTTAAAGGAGATAGGACCTGGGCCTGACATGGAGCAGATTAGGTGCCTGCCCAGGACAGTGAGCACCCATGGGCTGCACCCTCTGCTTCTGCAAATGTGGTCTTTGCTTTCCTAGAACACTGCTTTCCCAGTTTTTGCATTTCCAAAGAGAATACAGTGATTCACATGCTGACAGAGGGGTTTAGTTTTCCTTTAGGCTGAAGGTATAAGATTACCTACCTTTCTGTTATCTTTCTGAATCCCTCTGGAACATTTTGTGAAGGAAGAAAACCATGCTGATTTCCAAAAGCATGTAAAAATGTCATCACTGCCATCATCAACACCACCAAGACATGCAAAATGAACCCATCAAGTGCCACTAATTGGTTTATTCCTAAGAAAAATAATCAAAACTTGCCCTAACTCTAAATACCCATTACGATTGCACATAATGTTCCACTTCTTTCCCTGAGATGTGATTGCATCGTGGTGTGTCTGCTTGGGACAAGAACTGAGAATCAAGGCCACAAATACCATCCCTTGGTCCCAAACACTATTCAGTAAATAGGTAATTTTTTTTTATTTGTGGTACTGGGGATTGAACCCAGGGCCTCATGCATGCTAGGCCAAGCACTCTACCACTGAGTTACAGCTCCAGCTCAGAAACATCTGCCTTTACACTGGCATCATGCCAAGGCTGCACAAGGAAGATAGTACTATAGTTTGCATTCTGAATTCCACACTCAGAAATGATTGTTGAGCTGGCATGATGGCTCCATGGGAAAAGGTGCTTGCCACCAAGCCTCACAATCTGAGTTTGATGCCCAGGACCCACATGGTGGAAGGAGAGAACTGACTTCTACAAGTTGTCCTCTGACCTCCACATGTGCACCATAGCCCACATGCACATGTTGTGCACACAAATACAAAATGAATAAATGCAATAGGAAATTTTTAAAAAGAGAAGCATTTTAAGCTGCTATGAACATTTTAAAAAAAGAGAGAGAAGCATTTTTTTTTTCTGTTCAGGAGCTGTAACTTAGTGAAATTTCTCAGTACATTGTCACAGTAGTTCAGTCCTCAAAATCAGAGTCTAGAGAAGGGCCCTACCCCAGCTGGATCTTCATCTGGATCTAATTTTCATCACTGTCTTTTTCTCCCTTCTAATGCTAGCCATAGGTTGTTATATGTCTACTTTAAGCTTTTATCTTTGTACTCAGTGTCTAGATCAGAACTAAGCAAATTCCTTCCTTGGGAAGTAGAACTGAAACATTCTTTAGAATGTGTATCTTCCATACTATAACAATGTGAATTTGCTTTCATTGATTCAACTAGTTCAAAAAAGCAAGTTATTAAAGAAACCCTCACAATACAATTGAGTTGCAGGAAAATTATATATTTCCTAAAGTGACATTCATTTAATGTCAATGCCATATACACAGTAATTAATAATGTGCATTAAGAGAATACACAGTCTAGCCAGGTATGGCAGTACATGACTTTAATCCCAACATTCAGAAGGCAGAGGCAGGCAGAAGTCTGTGAGATGGAGGCCAACCTGGTCTACATAGTGAGTTCCAGGTCAGCTGTGGGTACATGTGGCGCACACCTTTAATCCCAGCACTCGGGAGGCAGAGACAGGCAGATCTTTGTGAGCTCAAGGCCAGCTTGGTCTATATAATGAGTTCCAGGACAGCTGGGGCTACAGGGAGACCCTGTTTCAAAAAAACAAAAAAAAAAAAAAGAGAGAGAGAGAGAGAGAGAATTCACACTCAAAAAAAAGAAAAAGGATTTTATATTTAATTACTACTTTTTAAAGGATAAAGGATTTTCACCATATTGTTTCTCTCTTTCTTTTTTTTTCTTTTTTTTTTTTTTTTTTTTTTTTTGTCTTTTTGAGACAGGGTCTCCCTGTAGCCTCAGCTGCATGGAACTCACTATGTAGACCAAGCTGGCCTTGAGCTCACAAAGATCTGCCTGCCTCTGCCTCCCGAGTGCTGGGATTAAAGGCGTGCGCCACCACGCCCGGCTGTCATATTGTCTCATTTTATGGTAATAATCATATGATTAGGTCAAATCTTTTTTGTTTTATATAAAATGCTAGCTGTCACCTCTTGAAATGACAGTATAATGCATAATCACTCTGAGAATTTTAACAACATCAACAACAAAAAAGAACAGCCTGTGTCCCAGTGCTAGAACCCTCGGGGATAACACAGGTCAAACAATGTCACAATTTGCTGTAGGTAACTTGGCATGGTAGTTCATAGCACAGAGTCTGGAAATCAGCCCACTCATTCTTTGATGTGATCTCAGAGAGGATGGGCAACTTCTGTGAGCCTCTGGCATCCCTAGAATATATAATGAAATTAGTTCATATGTAATGTTCTTAGGACATTGAGGTAGATGAAGAAGGATCAGGAATTCAAGACCATTTTCAGCTACCGAGCTTAAGGCCAGACTGAGTTACGTGAGACCTTGTCTCAACAAAACAAAACCAAAAAAAGTATTAAGATGGTGATGACAACAATGATGGTGGTGATAGTGATAATATTGAAGTTGAAAAATAAAAATGGACCCAAATGTTCATATTTGAGCATTTTTAGCCTCACCCTGATGTTTGGAAATCAATTCTTATTTCTAATTCCTCAGATCCCAAGGAGGCTCTGCATATAACAGGGCTTTATCTCACAGGCTAGATGACTCCCATGCATTTTTGTGTCCTCTTTCAGAAAGTGCAAGTGGTGGTAACTGTTTTGGACTATGACAAGATAGGCAAGAATGATGCCATCGGCAAAGTCTTTGTGGGCTACAACAGCACCGGCGCAGAGCTGCGACACTGGTCAGACATGCTGGCCAACCCCCGGCGACCCATCGCCCAGTGGCACACCCTACAAGTAGAGGAGGAGGTCGATGCCATGCTGGCCGTCAAGAAGTAAAGGGAAGAAGCCTTTCTGCATCTGCCCACATAGTGCTCTTTAGCCAGTATCTGTAAATACCTCAGTAATATGGGTCCTTTCATTTTTCCAGCCATGCATTCCTAACACAATTCAGTGGTACTTCAAATCCTCTTTTAATTTGCACAAATGTAAGTGTAGAGAGTCCCTATGCCCTCCATCATACCACTGCCCTCCAAATCTACTCTTCTTTTAAGCAATATGATGATGTGTAGATAGAGCATGACTGAAATTATTTATTGTATCACACTGTTGTATATACCAGTATGCTAAAGATTTATTTCTAGTTTGTGTATTTGTATGTTGTAAGCGTTTCCTAATCTGTGTATATCTAGATGTTTTTAATAAGATGTTCTATTTTAAACTATGTAAATTGACTGAGATATAGGAGAACTGATAATATATTATATGGTAAATATAGTATCGTCTGCATTCCAGCAAAAATTATCAACTTGTAAGGCACTAGTACAGTTAAACTGACATCTTAAAGGACAACTTAAACCTGAGCTTTCTATTGAGTCATTTGAGTACCAAAATACACTCACACCACATCCTTGGTGGGTGAATCCAATTTTGTAGAATTCCTTTACAGGCACATAGCATGATCTGAACAGCATCCAGGCTGATCTCAAGGAAGCAAAGCCACAAAGCAAAATAGCCTCTATATGTTTTTGCAAAGCTGGAATCACAGCTTCACCCTGACGTTAAGGAAACAGCTGAATAGGAGTCAGTGAGTTCATGCGACTGCATCTAGAGTAGCTACACAGTGGTGTTCTCCGTGTGAGTGCGTGTGCAAGTGTGAAAGGATGCATGTGTGTGGATGTATGGTGCATGCCTTTGTCTGGGGTTGGGGTGGGGGAGGAGAAGCTGAGAGAAGTCAGCATTTCTGAAATATTGCCTGACTATTTAAACAGAAAACAATAGCTCTCCGTTATCACATTTATACAAAATGTGCAACCTGTGAATTCTGATTTAGATTTCACACCAATAATGATTCCAGAAGGTTTGCACATGAGACTTTGTAACAAAATATTTTATTATACAAAACCAGATTAGAAGGAATGCAGAATATTTTTAACATAGCAATCTGTGCTTATTACACAAAATTACTTTGTGGTAAACAGACAGTATTGTAATCCCATCAAAAGATGAAAAATAAACAATTAGCCATAGCTCTGAATGCACTTCAATTAAGCCAAAACAAACAGCTAGTGATCTTTTTATATGCTCTTTTTACTTAAATAAGTTTTAATTTGTCCTTTAAACAAAGGTGAAACAAAACTAAGAACAAGTTCTAGTAAACTGAAGCAACCTCTTATGTACGCTAGATGCTTGATTTAGGAGTTTTTAAATGTTTTCAATGTTATTCTGTAGTAAATGGCACTATTACAAAGCTACTAGTCATTCCATAAGAGTCTCAAGGACTGCTCTGTGTAACACTGTGACTGCCGTGTGTGCTTAGACACGTAGTTTCCTCAGTGGATAGCACTCAACTTACTCCGTAGTGATATTGTAACAATACTGCCATTCCCTTCTGCTGCACTGCCCAATGTGTGTGTGGCACAAACAGTTCTCATTACTAAGGACCAATTCAGAACTGAACAGCTATGCATAGGACAGAAAGATACATAGAGCTGGGGGTGGAGGGAACACAGCATTTTGTCAACACTGTGCACTAGTCCACATTTGTCCCGCTGTGGTAAACAGCCACTTGGGGAAGGGGAGCCTGCTTCCTAACACTGCTTCTAGTCCCTTCTCCCACTTGATTCCATGACCTGTTTTCACCTCCAGGCCACAGAGAATAGTGAGGCTCTGAAGTGAGAGTCTGTCTTCACACATACCAAAAAAAAAAAAAAAAAAAAAAAAAAAAAAGAAAAAAGGGAGGGGTAAAAGGGAGGGTCGTTTTTCAAATCAAAAAAAAAAAAAAAAAAAAAAAAAAAAAAAACCAGAGGGAAGCCAAGCTTGGCCTCAAGTTCAATCTCCATGCTTTGGACAAAATTCAAGAGAATTCATAAAAGGGCTGACAGACTTTAAACATGGGGTTGGCTGTTTAAAAACAAAAATCCCAAATCCCTGTTGTGATTCTTTCAGAGAAGAGGCGAACTCTTTTGCCTTTTGACCCCAACATAGCAAACTCTAGAAATAGAACAGACATGAAGGACAAGGGGAGAACAGTATCTCCCATGGATGGTCTGTATTTCTTTAAAAAACAGCACAGATAATGGAGCATGCACACTCACAATGTGAGAGTAAACATCTATTTGAACAATAGAATGAGATGCTTTCCTATCTAAGGGACCAAGTCCTACCAAAGAGAGGGAGCTGACTTTTAAAAATACTTTAAATACCAGAAACTGACATTTAATTTCACCGTCTCCCACTTTAAGTTGTACATAATGAAACAACACTTTCAAAGAAGCAGGTTCCTGCTGCAGAGACAACATTATTTCCTGCATCAAAGTACTTACTAGCACATTCTCTTGCAACACTGCCAACATGGGATTGTCACCATAGAATTAGTTGGTACTATATCATCTCTGGTGAGCTGGTGACTGGACCTGCTTTATGACCAAGAGTCATCCTCAGATAAGCCACATGTACCTTTCTGACAATGCTGTGTAAAGTCTCAGAAGCTGATGCCCTAGAAGGATCCTAGTTGCCTTTGTGTATATTTACTGCCTGCTTGAGTGTTTCTATGTGTGGGTTTTCTCTGTGTCTTGTAGAAATGTTGGGGTGTTTCTTCTGCCATAAGGCTCGTGACCCACGAGCCAACTACTTTAGCTGTATTTTACCTTCATTTTTTGATGAGGTGGTTTAAATTTTGTTTCACTTTGTGTAGTGAATCCCACAGTAGTTTTCTGATTGTTGTTAAAAATGACTTAACATATTACATGGATACTCAATAAAAATGTTTTATTTCCTGTTGATTGTTGCTGTCTTTCAACTGCTTTTGTTACTGACTCTGGTGTTGGTGGAGGATTTGTTGACCTTGCAGATAGCCTGAAGCAGTAAAGGAAAAGCTCTCATGCTGAAGGCCAGCTGCAGGTCACATCTGGGATCACAGAGTGACTACAGGGAAAGAGTGCCCAGAGAGCATCTGTCCAGTGTCCCTAGATAGTACCTCTCCTCACCTGTTTCTCTGTTCCTGTCATCAATTCCCTTGGCATACTTTATGATGTGTCCAAATTGTGCCCTTGTGAGATTTTATTCCAGAGCCTAACTAGCACACACGTCTCCAAAATGAAACTGAAATCAAAATCGTTCCAATTTCATTTTTAGAGGACAGCGTGAATATTAAATTCCATGCTGCTGAAATGATTAGAAGCAAGTGAATGCCTTTCCTGCACTAAATTCAACATCTGTCAATGAGGTGCCTACTGAGTACCAAATCTTTACTGAATGTTGCAGCCAAGTCTCAAACTGATGCATAAACATAGTTGCCGTGCAGAATGATAGGCATACTTAAAAGGAAGCACCTTGGGGATTGTTTAGGTAGCTCAGTAGGTAATATGCTCACCATGCAAGCATGAGGACATGAGGCTGACAGGATGGCTCAGTGGGTAAAGGAACTTGCCACACAAGTCTGACAACCTCAGTTTGATCCCCAGAACCCACATAAATGTGGCAAGAAAGAACTGGCTCCACAAAGTAGTCTCCTGATCTCTACTTGTACACTGTGGCACATACGTGCCCACTCTCACTCATACACACACGCACACACACACAAACACACACACACACACATATACCATACACATACAGAATAATAAAAATGAAATAAAATTTCAAATTTCAAAAAAAAGCATGAGGACCTGAGTTCAATCCAATCCCCAGAACCCATGTTTTTTTTGTTTTTTTTCAGTTTTTTTTTTTTAAAAAGCCAGGCAGCAGTGGTAATCCCATAGAGCTGGGAAGACAAAGGCATCTCTGGCCGACCAGCCTACTCTAATTGGCTAACCCCAAATCAGTAAGAGACTCTGTCTCCAACAACAAGGTGCACAGTCCCTGAGGAATGACATCTCAGGTTGTCCTCTGACAGTCACGTGCACATGTAAACATGTGCTCAGGCACACAAACACACAAAAATAAGCACTTTCTGTCTGAGAGCTTCCACTAGACCAGTGATGGCAGACGTTGTGGCATGCCATCCCAGTCCCCCTGCAGCATGAAGGCTAGCTCATGATGCTTCTGGAGTGCTGCCTGCTGACAGCGAGCCCCTCGCCTGCTGCTGCAGCTGGAAGCTGCCTCACCTAAGTTCCTGCATCCTTGGGGAGAAGCCACACTCCATAGCTGACTCAGGAGCCCTGTCTCAGCTCCACAGCCCAGATGGACAGTGGAGAAAGCCTTTGCAGTTGTTCTGTGGATCAACTTCTCCTTCTTCCCAGTTTTCTTCAGTCATTTGCAGGTGCAGTTCCCAGGAACACTCAGTAAAACCCCCTTCTGTAAGCACCACCCAAGGGCTTCAGACTACAACGTTTGACAGGGGAGATGACAAGAAGAGTCTGCTAGAGTAGGTAAGACAACAGTGAAGGGGCTGGAGAGATGGCTCAGCAGTTAAGAACACTGGCTGTTCTTGCAGAAGACCCATGTTCGAGTCCCAGCACCCACTTGGCGGCTAACATCTGTCCGTAACTCCAGTTCCAGGGGATCTGACAGCCTCTTCTGTCCTCCATGGGCATTGCATGACACAGGTGCACGTACTTACATGCAGGCGTAACACTCATGTGCATGGAATGAAAATAATAAATAAAATATTTTTTTAAAAAGACAGCAATGAAGCACTGGAGGAGCTAGTAGAGTCCCCCAAGTCTGGGAGCAAGCAAAACTGCAAAACTTTGTTGCTTGACAAGTTTATCCTGATAAAAATCTCTAATGGCCAGCTACATCATTCTTCACGTAATCAGCTCTATTAGTCATTCCACATGAGGATAGGGACCGAGCCTGAACTGCTTAAACAGCCAAGGAAAAGACCACATAATTACTAAGCACAGCAATTGGCAAAGGCTTCTAAATTTAATCGGAAAAAGAAACTCGAGGCAGGCCAGGTTAGAAACAAAACCTCATCAGCATAATAAATACAACTGTTAGGTTGTTAGTGGAGACTCTTGAAATTAGATCCAAAATTATTTAAAGAATATTTCTCAATGAATTAGCAACAACAAATAATCACCCATGCTTTTTCCCAATGTCTGCTTTTCCAAAGGTTCATAGGTCTAAAGTAAATACAGGATATTTCTTGGTATTATTAATCAGAAAACAAAACCACTTCAGATATTTCAAAAGGAAATTTAATACAGGGAACTGACCACATGAGGAGTGCTGAGAAAATAGAAACAGTTGGGCATCCTGGAGATTATTAAATGTCACCTGTAAGACTGAAAGATAGAGAATGTAGCACTAATTGCGCCCAGACCTGTAGTGGGTCTGGAACCTGGGAAAGGTTCTTGGGGGTCCATGGCAATGAGACCATTAAAGGGTAGTTCAGCGTAGTGCAGGTGCTGGTGAAGGTATAAAGAAAGGGGCTCCATGGGAGGCTCTGGGAGGGCCCAAGGATCCTGTCTAATAATGACTGTTCCTTGTTGCTAGAAATAATTGTCTCCTCCCCTCTTAACTTCTACCTGGACTGGTACCTCTCCTAGCAGAACCTGACCCAGGAGAGATTCCAGGAAAAACAGTCTTCAGAGGCTGAGGCCTTATCCCAAGTCTACAGCAGAGCACAGACAGGATGGAACGAAAGCTGAGAACAGCAGCAAGTGACCAATGCATTCCGAAGTCTCGGGCTGCACACACTACAAGGACTTTTATTCCTTCCTAAGAGAGCTCAGCTGTTCCTTTCTGAGCTGCCCTTGTCATCCCCCACCTTACACAGTGGACGCACAGGAATTACATCCTCACTCAATTCATGCAGATTCCAGCCACGATTGCAGCGCCATGCTCTGTGCAGCACATCTTTATTACATATACACAGGATCTTCAGTGCTTAGCAAGTGACTTAAGCTGCACACAAATCCTTCCTGTTAGACAGACAGTGACTTTGGGATACCCAGGTTAAAAAAATCAGGAAAATAACCATCAGAAATAACATGGTACTAAAAGAAAACATCCAAAGCATACAGGATAATTATCACACAGAAGAACCAACAGAAGAGATCAATAACAAAAACCCCTGATGGTGTGAACTTGCTGATAGAGCTGTGTGATCTGAGGCTGGCTACAAGCTGCTGTATCTAAAACTCCACATTTCAGCCCTCCTGATTTCTCATGCTCAGGTATGTCCCCAAAGTTCCCACATTCATCCTTCTTCCTTGACAGTAGCTGTCTTGTCAGCCAAGCCTTTGCCCTATGCAAAACATACTTGCCCCTGCCAGGCCTCTCACAAGGTTAAAAAGTATTTCCCACAGAGCAAACTGGGACTCGCTTCCTTTTCCTCTGTCCACTTTATCTCTGTCACCATCCTACTTCCTGTGAATGACTGGGGAGAGCACAGCTCAGCATTGATGCTCTTGGTGAGTAGAACGGTTTGAGTTGCAAATGGAAAAAATCTAATTAAAGCTGGTTTAAGATAATAAGAGAGCAAGGGGGAGAGAGAGAGAGAGAGAGAGAGAGAGAGAGAGAGAGAGAGAGAGAGAATTACTAGCATCTTGAGAGAGAGAGAGAGAATTAAAGCTCTGAATGTTCCAGTTCAGAATGGAACCACCTTGACCTGCTTAATTATGAGACGGTAGTGTCTCTGTCTCTCTCTGTCTCTCTGTCTCTGTCTCTGTCTCTCTCTCCCTCTCCTCCCCTTCCTCCCTCCCTCCTTCCTTCCTCCTCTGTTATTCATAAACACATTCCTCCAATTTGGCTAGCCTCAGTATTAATTTTACTATCAGGTTTCTGCATC